CTGCCCGGTTAAAACAAAATGGTTGGGGGCCCGTTTGCAAACGCAATGCTCGCAGCATGGGTTTGGAAGGGGCGCGCGCGCGCTTTGAAGCAAGCCTGCCCGGCTCTAAGCAACAGCAGGGGGATTGCGATTCAATGCTCGCAGCATGGGTTTGGAGGGGACTCGCGTGCTCTGAAGCAAGCCTGCCCGGCTGAGAAAAAACGGGGGAGGGTTGGGGGGGGGCGTGGGTGGTGGGGAGGTGTTGGGGGTGGTGGAGGGCGTGGTGGTGGCAGGGAGAGGGTGGTGGGGGGAGGGGGGGGAGTGGTGAGTGTTCAGGTTCAAGAGCGTAGAAAAGGCGACGAGGGCTTGGGTTTTGGTTTGGGCTGGTTCCTGGTTAGGCCTAGGCTCAGGCCGGTTATGCCCACTGGACCCCCCTTAACCTGGTTTCCCCTCTTCAGGGTGTTGAGGGTCTTGGGGGTGAACACTCCGCTAAACCAATTAAAAATTTGGGTTTCCCTAAGGGGTTCAGCCCTGGAGTTTCCCCTTTCAGTTCCCCGCCCAGGTTATGAGTCCAAATTAGGTTCCCTGCAGAGTTTAGTTTAACAGTTTTGTCCACCGAGGCCATCGCCGCGGGACCCCCAAAGTGGAAAGTGGTACTGGAAGAGCTGGACAGCGGTGAAAGGATAGTTTTGAGCACTCAAGCAACTGGGAGGGAAGGCATTCGTAGTGGGAATGTGTCTGCAGGATCGGAGGATGCGGGGCAAGCAGTGACAACTGAGGTACAGACTGATTGGAGTGTCGTTGATGATGATGAAGATGAAGATGATGATGATGATACCAATTCAGTCGAATGTCTCTGGTGTTTCTGGAAGGCCGGCCGGATCTGAAGACTGCAAAGGAAGTGGGCTATGGCAAGAAGTGTTGCGTTCTGCTACAGAAACTTCCAGTTCCAGGCGGCGCGACGGGAACGAGACAAGGAGTTCTGGTAGTGCCGAAGAATGGGAGTTGACTCTGGAGGACGGAGTTGCATTCTTCACCCACGTAGTTTCTCGGGCAGTGCGCGAGGAACTTCCACCTGGCGCAGTGATGGTTATGGGAACGTCAGCAGTTCGGAGATTAGCTGACAATCAAGGAGCTGGCGCTGGTGCAGATCGAAATGGTGGGATGGCTGCACAACACAGCGTGGACAGCGGAACAGAAGATGGAAAACACACTTGCGTGGCTGCAGATGGGCGTCCATCAGCACATGTGGACAGTACAGTTACTGGCGTGGTTGCAGATGAGGCTGCAATAAAACACGTGGACAATACAGCTACTGGCATGTTGGTAAAGGGACCTGCAATGGGACATGTGGACAGTGTTGTGGGGGCTACATCGTCAAGGTCATGTTCTGAGCCAATAAAAAGTAGCCAGACAGGGACCGTAGTAGGTAGTCATGCCGTAGGGGTAGAGGGAGAGTCAGCAGGGAGCTGTTTTTCTGCCTTTAAGAAAGAGGGTGAGGTTGGTGGTCTCCTTCGTGCCCCACGTGCCACGATAGAATTGGTTCTACGCTGGAAGTGCAATCTGTTGACGCTGCACGCAATATTGGTGGTGGATGATGCTGGCTGGAAGAGGGAACTACAGAGGGAATGGTTCCTGGTTCTGAAGGACAGATTACACTTGGTGGCGTGGTCAGTGGAAAAGACAGTATTGTCGCTGGCGAGGCGATGATACAGGAACTTGTACCTGGTAGCGGTAGTCTTCCTGGCGGTAGCAAAGAATCTGCAGAAATTGGGAACGATGATATTGCACCAGGTAATAGTATTATTCCTGGTGGCAGCAGTGGGTCTGCCAAGGCTGGGAATGGTGGTATTATGGATACTAGGGTAGGGATCCTTCCTTGGGCGACTGCATTGGATCTGGGCGAGGGGCTCAAAAAGTGCTGAGGCAAAGCAAAGGTCGAGGATCAAAGCACTTCATAAGTGGAGTGGCTTCTGTTCCCGCCAGCAAACAGCACAATACAATGGCTGTCAAAGGAGGCACGGGGTACATCTTACAGTTGTCACACTGGGGCCAATGATGCAGCTGTGTCAACAGGTGGTATTGCCTGGAGTGCCAATGAGGCACGGGCAGAGACGCAGACCTGGAGCGCAAAGAAAGCAACGCCTCACCTTGGGGCTCCCGGGGATGACTGGAAAATGGCTGGACAGGTGGGCACGCCGCCGGATGCGCGAAGAGGATGCAGTTCGGGCACGTCACAATCTTCCGGACTTGAGTTCGAGGTTGCGACCTCTTCAGCGGAAGGCCAAACAAAAACCGTTCGGTGACATAGAGGGTGGAAGGTTTGCCTTATGGACAGAATTGTAAATTTTCCCATGACAATGTGAGAAATTTCCACCGCTTCAGCAGGAACATGAAACAAGTCCTCCCGCCCCTCCTTCAGCAGCGTCTGGAGAAGTTACCGTTAGAACGGCTAGTCGACATGGTAGGTTATCAAATGGAAGCCATGAGGGCAGATACCCTGGTAGAAGAGGAGCCGAGCGCACGTTTCCACACCCTCGAGCCATCAGGCACACCCAAGCTGGTGACACTACAGCCAGCAAACACCCTCTGACAGGTGGAACGTTACGCCCTCCTTGAGCAGCACCTCTATGCTTTGCGACTCTTCCCGCAAATCCAGGCTGTTGACGAGGAAACCAGAGCTTGGTACCGCATCTCTGAGCAGGCTCCTGCAGTGGAGCCCGCAGTTGGTGCAGAACAAGGCGTTGAGGTTGCTGGAGACATTGAGAAGCCACCTGCTGAGGAGGAGGAGGTGGATATGGAAGCCGCCAAGAGGGACTGCGAAGAGTTCCAGAGAAGGTACGACTATAGCCATGGCAAGGGTTGCTCCATTGACACAAATAAGGAAAATCCACAGGAGGGAAGTCTGGAGTCTGCTATGGTTATTTGGATGGCGACTGTAAGTTTGGTGACAGTTGCAGGTATCTACACGTTAACCCGGGTCAACCTCTTGTCGGAGTTGTGGAGGAGGGTCGCAAGTTGGACGAGGAGGCGAGACGCCTTTTGAGGAAGCGTGGTCTTAATCGCGTCTGCTTTGATTATCACTTGCGTCAGAGGTTTTCGCAACGGAATTGCAGATCTTCCGCCGGTCAAGGCTAAGCTTTTATGGAATATTATACAAGGAGCGCACAATACCGCGTAATTGAAGTCTAAAGGACTGTTGGACACGGCAAAGGAGACTGGTGATCCTTCAGCGACTTCGTCAACCCCTAATTGCAGGCAGGCTTCATTCGTACCAGTCCTCGTAGCTCTGGTCCGTCTGGATCTTCTGGTAGACAAGGCTGAGGAAAGAGCGGGCGGACTGCTGGCTTCCTTTCTGCATGCCGCTTTGCTGCTGGACGTGGTCCTCAGCTACATGACAAAATTGAATTCTTCGGGGCTCTCCAACCCATATGAGATATGCAGCCAAACTTCGCAGAGGCCGTTCAGCCAGACCATCCACGGTGTTCGCTCCCCATCGTACTCGCTCCAGAGTTTCCGGGCATTCTCCCGCCATTCATTTTGGCCTCGTGGAGTCAAAATCAAGCTCAGGGCTTTCCAACCCAGATGTGCAACAACACATCCCTTCCCGGGCTTTCCAACCCAGATGTCCAAAACGTACATTTCAGTCCGAGTCGCCCTTGCCCCCAAAGTCCCGGCCGTGGCGTCCAGCCGCCTTTCCCCCCCAGGAACGTGAGCCATGGCTGCAGGAGGGGGCTACCTTCTGTCCATGCTCGATCCAAATTGCAGCCGGCCCACACAATGAGTGCAAGCTGGGCCGTCCCGACCCCTTCGGAGATGCAGCTGGGCTGTCCAACCCTTGGGAGATGCAGCTGGGCTTTCCAACTCACACATTCAGACCAGGGCTGTCCAACCCACCCATTGTGGTTCGGGGCTTCAGGGTTTAAGGTTTTAACGTTTTTGTCTGCGACTGCTTTGGGTGTTGCCACATATATGTTAGTTATACCATTCCGGGATAGGTTCTTCTGATGATTATATATGTCCCCAGCAAAGCCCGATGTCCCAACTAGACTGTAACCCCAGACATCGTGATTTCCGAAATTCAGCGACCGCCCCGCCCCCCCCCTTAGCTGCAGCATCGAAAACATCTTAAAAGTTTAAAGTTTCAGGGTCCGGGTGCTTATCAGGGCGGGCTGCATTCTGCCAACCCCAAAATATCCGACTGTTTCTTTTAGACGGCCGGGCGATGAAAATGGATGCCGACATATCTGTCCGATCACCGCTTAGCACCGTTTGCTCAGCAAGCGTGCTTTCATGCTCCTAATCTCATCCAAGCTCTTGCCATTCTTGAGCTCCTTGAGCAGCTTCTCGATCATNNCCCTCGGTTGATTTCAAGCAATCGTCGTCCAGCTATGAACTCAGACGGGCAAACTGTACATCAAACAATATATACATATATATATGTATACATACAGATATATGTATATGTATTTTGTATTCAAGTCCCAGTCGCTGTCTTCCATCAGGTCCAATCCTCAAAGCACTTGCACAATTTTTCTTGTAATCCATGATGATCAACTTCTGCACCTGGTCCTGCCAGATATGGCGAATTATAATGAACAGCTACACACACCGATCATGGACACGGATGTCCTTGGTCAAGCTTGCCATGGGTGGATACCGGGTTCTCGTCTTCCCTCCATTCTTGGCCTTGCCAGAACTATATATGCTCTTTGGAGGCAGTTTAGGATTCAGTTTTTCTTCAGGCCTTCTTGTTCTTCGTGGGCTTGCCTTTCTCTGCGGCAGCTGCTCCTGTCGTCGTCAGATCCTGGAAAAAAAGGTTGGATTCGGGGTTTTATGCTTCCCGAAAGGGAACAAAATGGTTATCTCGATCCTTCTCTTTGTGCGGGGGCCTCGGCTTCCTTTGCAGCTGCCTTTTTAGGTGCCTTTCCTTCGTCCTTGGGGTCCTGGAAAGCTTAAGCGTGTGTGTTTCTGGGGCTTTCCAACCCAGGTTTAGGGTTTCAAGCTCTTTGTGCGGGGGCCTCGGCTTCCTCTGCAGCTGCCTTTTGAGCTGCCTTTCCTCCTTCCTTGGGGTCCTGGAAAGCTTAAGCGTGTGAGTTTCTGGGCCTTTCCAACCCATATTACAAGGTTTAAGGTTTTCAGATTATAGGGAGCAGAGTCCTTTGCTGCTGGCTTCTTTTTGATGAAGATGGCGTCCTTTAGTACTCGCTTCTTCGTGGGAACTGGTGAGCATTCGTTGGCATCCTGGCTCCAGGCGTCGAAAACGGAGGGGGTGGCCGGGATCTCCATACTCCGAATCCTCTGCAACTCCTTCCTTTTGTTCTTGGCTTTTGCATCTTCATCATCTTCCTCCTCCGAAAACGGCAGCTTTTCCTTTTCCTTCTTCGAGACTTTCTTGGCTTTTTCCATTTCATCATCTTCCTCCTTCGAAATCGGCAGCTTGGCAGTCTTTCTCTCCTCCTCCTCCTCCTCCTGCGCCATGCCAAGTGTCAAGGCCCTGACTTGTGTCAGGGCCTTCCTTTCGTGGTTGGTGAGCTTGCTGCTGGCTTCGTGGAAACGTACCTCGTCCTTCAGTCGCCGAGCATGTGCGAAGATGGTGAGCATCGTCTCAGCGGTTTTCCTGGGCCACTCTCCTCGTCCAGTTCCTATATCATCTCCGAAAAAGTTGTGAACACCAACCAGGGCATCCTTCAAGGTCGTGAACTTAAACTGGAGAGACTCTTCCACCTGAAAGCAGGCCTTTATGAGCTCCAGGGCTTTGACCAACCCTCGACCANNTGGACCTTTGCAGATGGCCGTACGGACTGAGCTCGAAGGACCTGGCCAAACCAGCAGTCTTGACGTACTGCTTGAGAGCCTCGGCCAACTCGAACGGCCAAAACTTCCGTGTACTCCCCGCGCTGATTGTCAGCCGCGAGGATTCGGAACATCGCGCCGGTAGGGACGGTGTCCGCCAGCAGCACTCCGTTCGCTCCGCGCGGCGAGTCGGGCTCGGACCACAGTTTCTGAGCCGTGGGTCCTTGACGGTGCGGGACAGTGTCGTTATTGGCCGGCGCTGGGGATTTATTCTGTGTGGTTGCCTGTCCAGCACGTGGTGTGCCCGCTGGGACGGCAT